GCGCTGAATTCTGTGGTAAAAAGTTGGAAGAGTTGGTTATCGTTATTCGATTTAAGTCAATGACCTATTTAAGTATCTGTGTTTTAAACGCGCTTTTTTCCGTCGTGGCAACACTTGGAAATCTTCTTGTTATTCGCGCCCTGTGGAAAGCCTCGTCCGTTACATTAACTTTAAAAAAGATGTTCCTGAGTCTTGCTTTCTGCGATCTTGCGGTTGGATTGTTTAGCCAACCCGTGTTAGCTGCACTGTACGGAGTAATAGTAAATAAGGCAGCGAGCGGAAATTATGACTTTGATAGCTACTGCCCGGTTATTATTACATTAGTCATGGCCCCTACGTTTTTTCTGCTTGGAGTTTCGTTTTCCATGGTTGCCGCTATAGCGGTGGACAGACTTCTTGCTCTTTCTATTCACCTAAGATATCAAGAACTTGTTACAGAGAAGCGAGTCAATATTGGTTTGGTGGTCTTGTGGCTTTCAAATGCTCTTTACACGTTTGTCTTTATGGAACTTCCCAGCCATAATGAATTGTTAGCTGTAATTTTACAAACCGTTGGATTGATTTTAATAACGGTAGCATATTTTCGTATTTACCAAGTAGTGCGCTATCATCAAAATCAAATACATGGCCACAATCAGATTCAAAATGATCAATCCACGCAAGCTGCCAGAATAATGAAGTCAGCTTTGAACGCTTTCTATGTCTATATCGTTTCCCTTGTTTGTTTCACGCCAAATTTATTGGCTGGTATTCTGCTGGTAGTGGACAATTCACGCTTACCCACTTTAGTAGCATACAATGCTTCTGCGTTTTTAATATTACTCAATTCTTCTTTAAATCCACTTGTCTACTGCTGGCGATATCGCGAGATTCGTAATATCGTGAAAAACACAGTGAAGAAACTGTTTCGTAACAACCAAATGGCACAATAAGGAAGAACAATTGATATAGTGAGCCTGACGAAAATTTGCAAAAATTGTTAGCAGCGTTGCCTAATGTAACTTCGGGAAATAACTTAATGAAAAAATGTACATGTATAGTCTGCTTCCAGTATTTTGATAAAGAAAAATGTAAATATCTTAAAGCTTGTGTTAAAATACCTCGTTAGATTTAATTATCAGTTACTGACACTTCTGTCAAAGCTTTTAAGATGCATTTCCAGAAGACCAAACGTCTTTCGGATTGGAATCATTAATATGAAATAAAAGGAAACAAAAGAAGTGAACGAGTAGCCCCCCATTTAAACTGGACTATATCTATTGATCATGCCCTTGAAAAAATGTGAATTTCCTTTCTGGCCGAGAAAGAGCGATAGCGAGATAGTTTTAACCTAATAACTGTGTAACAGGACGAGAATTTTTCTGACAAAAAGAGCCGATTTAATGCCAAGAGTCACATTTGTCTGTATTTGTGGTTAACTAGTGTGATGGCTCATCAGTAAAACTGCCGCATCTGAACACTGGCTTCCCATTTAATTTGGACGGCGTCAGACAACTTTGCAATGGCATAAATATGCATATCCTTGGTGAGCGACGCCAGAAAACACGCATGTAAAACCTCTGGCACTGAGGACAACTTCACAGCCACAATTCACACCAATAACCTTTTCACCAAACCGAATGAATTGAACAAACAAACCGAGGAAGTCTACATAAACACAATATGCACATCACTACATCCGAGTATCAAATAGCCAGTCTTCAAATCCTGTCTCAACGAAGGAGAACTGAATGAAAGAAATGTGAACTAAGAATATTCGTTTAAGATTGATTATTATTTAAGGTATCGTTAGCAGAGGAGACTGGTTATGAAAGCCGGCGAGGAATTCAAAACGATCAAGCTATGGAAGGTACCAGAGTGAAGATGTCAGCATTGAACGCTTTCTATGTCTATATCGGTTGTCTCGTTTGTTTCACGCCAAATTTATTGGCTGGTATTCTGCTGGTAGTCGACAATTCACTCTTACCCACTTTAGTAGCATACAATGGTTCTGCGTTTTTAATTTTACTCAATTCTTCTTTAAATCCACTTGTCTACTGCTGGCGATTTCGCAAGATTCGCGATATTGTGTAAAAAGACATTAAGAAGATATTTAATGGTAATTGAGTGGCACAGTCTTATATACTGTTTATGCGCTTGAATTTTGAATTGACCAATCAGGATTCAGCAGGTGGGGAAAACTGTACTGTCCTGACGTCACTGTTCGTCTCACGTGCTATGGGGCAAAACTTTCTTGTGCGAACAAAACTCGCTAACTCGCTGGGGCGAACAAAACTCACTAACTCCCCGGGACGAACAAAACTCAATAACCCCCTAAGGAAACAAGAACTTGAACTTTACGACTGGCTCCTGATCGGGTCATCCACCTTGAAACAGTGGCAAATTTCAGTGCCAGCCAGCGTCAGGCAAATATTTTTTCTCAGTTTGTTTCGTCTCTGAGTTGAGAAGTATAACACAATGACTTAATGACTGGCCATACGGGAAACAGAACTCACTGTTTCTCTTGGGGCCAGTCAGTAAGTGTTTATTATCGTGTCGTTTTGGTAGAACAGCACGGTTTTGACTGCCGCTGGAACTGTGGACGTGACCACCGTATGCAAGGTCAGTAAGCACAAGTGTTAATCAGAGGCGAAATGCAACTTTCTACAAATAACTTTAGAAACAAAAACAGGGAAAGAACAAGGAAACCATGTCAAAGGAAACAATGATTAAGGGCCTATTAAGCTAAGGAAGAGACCAATGAGACGCCCACGTGGATGATCTGGCTCATCGGTAAATCGGCTATGACGGATTAAGGTTGGGACTAAACTTGAACATGTCTTGGCTTTCAATTTGCTTTCGATAGTCATTAACTACGAGCATGCAACCTAAAATATCATTCGATGCATTTTTTTCTTCCTTTCCATTCCCCACCACGTGACCTGCAAATAGCTACCTACAAATAATGGTCTGCTCATGCGTAGTACCGTCTAAACGTGTATTGCACGATGTAAATAATATTCTGCTCATGCGTAATTGAAATCACGCTCCCAAATGAAAAATGGCAGATCGCTTCCCTGAGCTGTCAGAGAGTGATTTAAAGATGCAAACAAACTTGATGATGGAATGTTGAGACAACTATTGAACCCAGTTATTGCAAACTATCAGAATTCGGCTGAGGCAAATAATTGATCTGTGCACCACTGACAAATCACAATATTTTGCTCAACCTGGTCCAACAATTGTGAACTATTACGGCACTTTAAACATTTGCAATCGATAAAAATGAAATGCTTCAAGCTGCTTATCAGTGTGACTCATATCGTATTTTCAATTTATCAAGAAACATGATAAAGAACGTGTCATTGTATTCAACGATCACCTACCCTTCAACTTTTATCTCCTTATATTACTTTTGTTGCTAAATATAAAAGGTCATGCTAACTTGGAGTGAAAACTGTCAATAAGAAATATTGTTACGGCTTTAATTAAACTCCTCCTGGGTAATGCTATCAAGGCAATAAATCGAATGCAATTAAATTTCTCCGGTAGTGCCCCGTGTTGTGTGTAATTGAAACCCACTTGAGAATACCCTGTTGATATGAGCATTTCGTGATTAAAGTCGGTTGTTTGGTAGCCTGCGAACGCAGACGTATTTCCGGCTGTCGCTTGTCTCCGCCGGAAATAACGTCTGCGAACCCGAGCCAGGAAACGATTTCTCTGACGTGATGACTTTTGTTTCTCTTTGGCCAATCAGATTCCATGATAGAATGAAACTCAAGTGCTCCTCGCAGCGAATACCTCGCGCAGTAGCTCTGGGTCTACTTGAGCTAAACTGTGATTGGCTTAAAATTCCTACGTCACAGAAATCGTTTCCTGGCTCGGGTTCGCAGACGTTATTTTCGGCGGAGACAAGCGACAACCGGAAATACGTCTGCGTTCGCAGGCTACTTATTTGGCAAAAGAAAATGCTTAGTTAGTTTCTTATCTTTGATTAGATCACTCCTTTACCACGACCCAGGTATTACCGAGGTACCACTCTATTTAAGAAATAGAAAACATGTATCGTGTTTCTCTCGAGAAATGCTGTGGGAACACGAGCCGATGGGCGAGTGTTTCACAAAATTTTGAGACGAAAAAATGAAAACAACTTCTTTAACTTTGATCGTCAAAATTCTCTTTGCTCGCGCCATCATTTCGTCAACAGCTCGTTGACGTAAGCTGTACCTGTGTTTCTATCGAGTTATAGTTAGCTCTTATTAACCGAGCAGAAGGTCTGAAGGTCTCAAGATTCTCCCATACCGACCGACTAAGCTCGGTTAATAAGATGTTTATCATATGGGGCAAACAAGACCAATTTAATTTGTTTAATGGAACTGGTTTGTACTAACTGACATTGTGTTTGCGAACGGCGATGAGCTGAATTTAATTCTGCCAAAGTCTGCTCGTCCTCTTTGCTTTTTTTCTCATCAGGCCTTTTGGCTTTTTTTGTTAGATGAAAATAGTCAATGATTTTGCATTTTAGTTTCCAACTTTTTCACTGCAAAGCATTACCGGTCTAGATGTCGGTCTGGATGGCAAAATCTAGACCGCTTTCAATATCGATTTCAGCCAATCAAATTCGTGAATTTGGTAGTTCCCAGTCCTTGTGAGACAGAGTCATATAATAAGAACACGATTTTAAACCAATCATTGCGCGTACTTTCTTTAGGCTAATTTCTATCAAACTTTGAAGAGGCCTCTTTTGAAGTTGATATTTTTGACGAAAAAGAAGTGAATTATTACCCAAATTTAAATGAAAACTTTCCTCCAACCCAAGTAAATTAATTAAAACGTTTTCTGTTACCCAATTGATTTAATTAAAAGTGGTCAACCACTTAACCACATTTCACTGAGATGTCAATCTCGGATTCTTCAAACGAATATAAAACAGAGAGGTCTATACGAGCAAGACGAAGCGGCGTATAGAGAGCTCTGTGCTAACTTCAGTCAAAAACAAACGTTGAGGCTTGAAGGTAAACATGGTCAGCGCTGAATTCTGTGGTAAAAAGTTGGAAGAGTTGGTTATCGTTATTCGATTTAAGTCAATGACCTATTTAAGTATCTGTGTTTTAAACGCGCTTTTTTCCGTCGTGGCAACACTTGGAAATCTTCTTGTTATTCGCGCCCTGTGGAAAGCCTCGTCCGTTACATTAACTTTAAAAAAGATGTTCCTGAGTCTTGCTTTCTGCGATCTTGCGGTTGGATTGTTTAGCCAACCCGTGTTAGCTGCACTGTACGGAGTAATAGTAAATAAGGCAGCGAGCGGAAATTATGACTTTGATAGCTACTGCCCGGTTATTATTACATTAGTCATGGCCCCTACGTTTTTTCTGCTTGGAGTTTCGTTTTCCATGGTTGCCGCTATAGCGGTGGACAGACTTCTTGCTCTTTCTATTCACCTAAGATATCAAGAACTTGTTACAGAGAAGCGAGTCAATATTGGTTTGGTGGTCTTGTGGCTTTCAAATGCTCTTTACACGTTTGTCTTTATGGAACTTCCCAGCCATAATGAATTGTTAGCTGTAATTTTACAAACCGTTGGATTGATTTTAATAACGGTAGCATATTTTCGTATTTACCAAGTAGTGCGCTATCATCAAAATCAAATACATGGCCACAATCAGATTCAAAATGATCAATCCACGCAAGCTGCCAGAATAATGAAGTCAGCTTTGAACGCTTTCTATGTCTATATCGTTTCCCTTGTTTGTTTCACGCCAAATTTATTGGCTGGTATTCTGCTGGTAGTGGACAATTCACGCTTACCCACTTTAGTAGCATACAATGCTTCTGCGTTTTTAATATTACTCAATTCTTCTTTAAATCCACTTGTCTACTGCTGGCGATATCGCGAGATTCGTAATATCGTGAAAAACACAGTGAAGAAACTGTTTCGTAACAACCAAATGGCACAATAAGGAAGAACAATTGATATAGTGAGCCTGACGAAAATTTGCAAAAATTGTTAGCAGCGTTGCCTAATGTAACTTCGGGAAATAACTTAATGAAAAAATGTACATGTATAGTCTGCTTCCAGTATTTTGATAAAGAAAAATGTAAATATCTTAAAGCTTGTGTTAAAATACCTCGTTAGATTTAATTATCAGTTACTGACACTTCTGTCAAAGCTTTTAAGATGCATTTCCAGAAGACCAAACGTCTTTCGGATTGGAATCATTAATATGAAATAAAAGGAAACAAAAGAAGTGAACGAGTAGCCCCCCATTTAAACTGGACTATATCTATTGATCATGCCCTTGAAAAAATGTGAATTTCCTTTCTGGCCGAGAAAGAGCGATAGCGAGATAGTTTTAACCTAATAACTGTGTAACAGGACGAGAATTTTTCTGACAAAAAGAGCCGATTTAATGCCAAGAGTCACATTTGTCTGTATTTGTGGTTAACTAGTGTGATGGCTCATCAGTAAAACTGCCGCATCTGAACACTGGCTTCCCATTTAATTTGGACGGCGTCAGACAACTTTGCAATGGCATAAATATGCATATCCTTGGTGAGCGACGCCAGAAAACACGCATGTAAAACCTCTGGCACTGAGGACAACTTCACAGCCACAATTCACACCAATAACCTTTTCACCAAACCGAATGAATTGAACAAACAAACCGAGGAAGTCTACATAAACACAATATGCACATCACTACATCCGAGTATCAAATAGCCAGTCTTCAAATCCTGTCTCAACGAAGGAGAACTGAATGAAAGAAATGTGAACTAAGAATATTCGTTTAAGATTGATTATTATTTAAGGTATCGTTAGCAGAGGAGACTGGTTATGAAAGCCGGCGAGGAATTCAAAACGATCAAGCTATGGAAGGTACCAGAGTGAAGATGTCAGCATTGAACGCTTTCTATGTCTATATCGGTTGTCTCGTTTGTTTCACGCCAAATTTATTGGCTGGTATTCTGCTGGTAGTCGACAATTCACTCTTACCCACTTTAGTAGCATACAATGGTTCTGCGTTTTTAATTTTACTCAATTCTTCTTTAAATCCACTTGTCTACTGCTGGCGATTTCGCAAGATTCGCGATATTGTGTAAAAAGACATTAAGAAGATATTTAATGGTAATTGAGTGGCACAGTCTTATATACTGTTTATGCGCTTGAATTTTGAATTGACCAATCAGGATTCAGCAGGTGGGGAAAACTGTACTGTCCTGACGTCACTGTTCGTCTCACGTGCTATGGGGCAAAACTTTCTTGTGCGAACAAAACTCGCTAACTCGCTGGGGCGAACAAAACTCACTAACTCCCCGGGACGAACAAAACTCAATAACCCCCTAAGGAAACAAGAACTTGAACTTTACGACTGGCTCCTGATCGGGTCATCCACCTTGAAACAGTGGCAAATTTCAGTGCCAGCCAGCGTCAGGCAAATATTTTTTCTCAGTTTGTTTCGTCTCTGAGTTGAGAAGTATAACACAATGACTTAATGACTGGCCATACGGGAAACAGAACTCACTGTTTCTCTTGGGGCCAGTCAGTAAGTGTTTATTATCGTGTCGTTTTGGTAGAACAGCACGGTTTTGACTGCCGCTGGAACTGTGGACGTAACCACCGTATGCAAGGTCAGTAAGCACAAGTGTTAATCAGAGGCGAAATGCAACTTTCTACAAATAACTTTAGAAACAAAAACAGGGAAAGAACAAGGAAACCATGTCAAAGGAAACAATGATTAAGGGCCTATTAAGCTAAGGAAGAGACCAATGAGACGCCCACGTGGATGATCTGGCTCATCGGTAAATCGGCTATGACGGATTAAGGTTGGGACTAAACTTGAACATGTCTTGGCTTTCAATTTGGTTTCGATAGTCATTAACTACGAGCATGCAACCTAAAATATCATTCGATGCATTTTTTTCTTCCTTTCCATTCCCCACCACGTGACCTGCAAATAGCTACCTACAAATAATGGTCTGCTCATGCGTAGTACCGTCTAAACGTGTATTGCACGATGTAAATAATATTCTGCTCATGCGTAATTGAAATCACGCTCCCAAATGAAAAATGGCAGATCGCTTCCCTGAGCTGTCAGAGAGTGATTTAAAGATGCAAACAAACTTGATGATGGAATGTTGAGACAACTATTGAACCCAGTTATTGCAAACTATCAGAATTCGGCTGAGGCAAATAATTGATCTGTGCACCACTGACAAATCACAATATTTTGCTCAACCT